TTTTTTTAATCTAGCATATGAATAATTTGCCATTTTGATAAATATACAACCCATGTCCTAGAATGTATATATATATGATGAACAAATATTGGATCACCAGTCAAAAGAAATTTTACAGATTCACAGGTTTGCTATATAATTAACCTTCAAACATACTTCAAGATTACTTTTCGGAAATGATACTTAATGATAGCCAATTCAAATTATGATAAAAAAATGTGGGGTATTCATAATGTTACGTCCATACAATGGGGAAAAAAGTGGTAGCAGGGAACACCTAATTATCGCATACGTCACAGTCGCAAATGACTTACCTTGTCATTTTAATTAACTCCACAAATAAATTTTATACAGCAAATATAAAATCCATATTAGAATCGTGAATAACACAAACACAAAGTTGTCATGACTGCTGGTTAGTAAGCAATAAGGCAGCAAGATCGGCAACAATCCAGAGGTGTTTACCCAAAGGTGTTTACCCACTTCACAATTGGGCGACTTGAAAAACCAAAGTAAATCTTGACCAGAATCTTCGTAAAGTAAAGTTGTTTAATCCGATACGTCTTAAAAGATGTGACGTCTTGTTTTATTCTTTTATCTCATGTTTTTGTTTGCTTTCGCTAGGAATCTTCTGTTCTATTTCATTGCACTTGACATAAAATTGAATATTTTGGGGTATGTCTACATCTACTGTATGTCGACCGAACAGTTAGTTTTTAACGGGAGTTGATACATTTTACACAAAGTGATAACCATCAATTGTTTGTTTTAAATAGTGTTTCCGTCATTAATGAGATTGTTAACCATTAAATGATACTGGGCAATATATTAGTCCATACAGTTCAGAGACCGATTATGTTATCGAAAGCGAGAAAACAAATATCGAAATTTTATTTTCACAGCTCCCACCCTCCATTAAGATCTTTTATTGAACACTATTTATTTTAGGACGAACCAGTATTAAGAATATTTTTGTTTGGTTTGTGATAATAGGTAAGTCTTTCAATAAAGTAGGAGTAGTTCCTAATAAGTTAACCTTAAACGTATCCTTATATTACTTTTTAATCTAAACGTCCCGATTTTCATCTGACGGACCAAAGAAGATGAACTATAGTATACAGTATGCAATAAGGACAATTTTACACATATAGGAGAATCAGTCTTTTGTGCGATATTGAAAGAGTTTATTGTCTTATCCCGACGACTATAAGCTGTTCCATGTACAAATATAAAAATAGCCAAAACTGGATATATAAAGCAAGTACTTGTACTTTATCTTTATTTATATATATATATATATATCCTTTGTTATTTACTTTAAATCTTTTCATTAGAGAGAAGGTCAATTCCACAACACATTGACGTGAATAGCTTACCGAAACTGAGCATTTTATAATTAATAAATTTAATAAATTTAACAAATTTTTTTAAATTTATTAGAAGAGTCGAACTTCCAATCTCCTATAAGAGGTTGGGACAGAGAGTGGTCATTCAACCAGTCACAAGGATGCACACTGGAAACCAAGAAGTAATATCTATTTTAATTTGACATATTGGAAAAGCTAAAGAGGCTAAATGAATCAAATTTAAGCCTATCTTCAGATAATATATTGATAGCAGTCCCATAAATGATGCAGTTTAAATATAAACATGACATATATCCGATAAATTTTATAATTAATTAATTAATAGATAGAATAAATTAACACTGCTGAAGTTCTTTTGTTCTGGATGAAAATCTCAACAAAAAAAAATATATTTTTTATATTGTCAACCATTAAAATTAATGATACTGGGCAATATATAAGTCCATACAGTTAAAATACCGATTATATTATCAAAAGCGAGAAAACAAATATCGAAATTTTATTTTCACAGCTCCCACCCTCCATTAAGATCTTTTATTGAACACTATTTATTTTAGGACGAACCAGTATTAATCAGTATTATGATTGGTATTTTTGATATAACTGTCCTGTTTAAGCTGTTAGTGGTATAACAGAACTGCTATTTCAATTTTGACTATTACACGTCTGTTTGACGTAATTCAAACATTTATTATTAAGATACTAAAATGATCCAATCATCCTAGCTGCTACAGGGATCAATTTAAGCGGTATTGTATTTCAATCCTTTTAACGATCCAATAATTCTTACAATTAGTGAAAATTCAAATTCATAACGACGATCTGCGATAAACCATGGGAACCGTTTAGTCTAGAATTAAATGGATCCATTGTCCCCAACAATATGATAATCTTATCATTATACTAATTAATTATAAACGTCATTGGCTAAATCGATTCTGAGTTTTGAACTAGATTGAAATTCGAATCAAAATTCTTAATTTAAATAGTAATGTTTTGTGTAAGTTTTACTTCAAGGGAAGCAATTCTCTATAATTTGATATGACCACTGAGGCTTTTCTTTTAAATCCAATTCCAGTCGGTAATTTATAAAAGTAATATGTTTCAAAATACAGATGTGACGTCACCCTTTGATCTTTGATCTAACTTACTGGTACGGGCATTGTGCCAAGAGTACATCATGTTTTAGATATGGCGGCAAATGTTGGACTGCTGTGACGTCATACAAAGATTAGTTTGAAAATTTCTTTGCTTTGATAAAAATATAAACATAAGCACCCATTATAGCTAAAATATTTGTGACTTTTTGGGGTTGACATTTCTAGGAGGGAAATAAGTCTCTTTTCAATATAAACTTACAAAAGGGCATATTTTTTTATCAACGCAAAGACGTTCTAAGACTATCAGTACTATTTTGAGACTGATATTCTAATTCTCTTAAAAAGATATCGGAAAAATTGAAGAAACTTTTTAATTTTGCTCAGACAATAGTTGGAAAAATGTTTTTACAGAGGGAAATTTTCATTTCCGAAATGTTAGCCAGTTTCACCGAAAATTAATGGACGTGTTTATTTCAAATATAAAATTTCCAAACACTACATTTATATTAACCCAAAGACATTTTAATACAAATAACATGCAATTGAAAATTTATAATAAAGTGGATATTTGTGGAATGGGAGAAAATAAATTAAATTTTGGGCTTACTGTCGTCAGAAATAGTCATAATATAAGATGATATACAATAGTATGGCATAACGCATCGATCGGAGATGTCTTTATCAAACATACAAAATATGAATTGTATTTACCTGGAACAGGTACATTTTTGATAAATCCTGACCGGACATCTTGAAAAAGTTTTTATATGTGTATGTACTGACACGTGAGTTGATCTCATGTGACCTGTAATATTGCACTTGCATGAGTAGAAGTTATGTGTAATCTGTAGGTTAATGGTCCTCAAGCAGTCCAATGGGTTCAATAATGACGTAACACGCGGACCTTATTTGACTGCTTTTGGCCATGAAATTATACTTAAGAGACGTACTTAATTCGTAGTATTGCACAGACGTACCTCAATTCAAGAAAACATCGCTTAACTCTGTCTCCTTCACTCTACATCATCGCTACATTCTAACTTTTACTGTTTTCTTTCTCCTTCTTACTTACATAAAAATATAATACACCTCTTAAAAACACCCGAGAAAGGCATAGAGCATCTAATCTCATTATCGGTGATTATCTTCATAACCGGTTCAGCAATTATGATGGTAATCTTTTTTTTCCTTCTGTCTAACGGAACCCGTATATCAATTTATCTACAGACCACATAACATATTCACAGATTCAAGAATGCTAGTTCAATTGCAAGGGAAAAAACTCTAAATTACTTCTCAAACAGTTGATTTTTTCACATTTGGGGTTGCTTTTTCTAAGCGATTTCACTTCACATTCATTCTTTTACACTGTCTCAAATTATTCAACATTAATACCTTGCGCTTCGATTATCGATCAGATAGACATGAGAAATATACCTATGTACATGTTGGAGCAGCAATAATTAACGTTTCGACAGCCAGAAGGGAGACTAGCAATTCTCCGTGTATGAATACGAGGACATTCCTAAATCTGTGTATATATAAAATAACTTAACATGTTGTCGCTATGGTGATTCGAATGAAATGAAATGAATGGAGTTTTACGTCCTACTTTTCTGAACCATTTGGGCTAATGAAGACGGACAACGCCCTGCAGGGTGCGATGAGGGAAATTTTGCCAGGACAGCTGCAATAGCCTGCTCTTTTTCGATTTCCAACTATCGAGGGATCTTTAACGTGCACAGCCTGTAGCTATGGTGATTCAAGCCCAATCAAATAATGTAGCTGACCATATAAGAAGATCCGATGATTAGAGTATTGTTAAAAGAGTAAATGACATAATTTGGAAAAAAATTAAGGTTTCAGGATTAGAAGGAGAGATAGCTTTTGATTTCGATACAACAGCAAGGATATAAGTGGATATCAAAGAGGATGCTATCGAAAACTCATTTATGCTCGAAGATTGGAACAGGCAAAAACTCAAAAGGAAGATGAATGTGCAAGGTTAGCTGACAAAAAGGAAATGCTGGCCGCTACCACTCCTGTTGGAATAAAACAAGGATATAAATGGATATCAAAGAGGATACTATTGTAAACTCTCTACTGCTCAAAGATAACAACAAGCAAGTACACGAAGAGAAAGATGATGTGCAAGGTTAGCTATCAAAAAGGAAATGCAGACCTCTACCACTCCACAGATTTTGTGTTGTTGCCATTGTAAAAAATCGCGTCATCGATTTCGGGGAAGGGAAGGTTTAACTTTTCCATATGTACAGGCAAGGGATGGAATACACATCAAGAGCCTATTTGTTCAAAAACATGTGCAAGCATGTAGTCAGAATCAGCTGCCTCTATTCCAGGCTCAGATAGCTATTGTGACAGATTTCGGCTGAAGTATGGTCCAAAAAACGTGCCTCGGTTTTATGGGTATTTTTCGGCACATGCATATTGTTAACACCCTCCTTCGTGTATATGACCTAAATACCGCACTTAATAAGCGGTTATAAGTAATACATATTGAATGAAACAAACATTGATTTTCTAGTAGTTTATTTATGTCCGCTTTAGGATGAAGTTGGCATTGGTGGCATAGTTGTAGCAGCACCCTTCTGTTGAGTCTCACAAACATATTCATTTGATCCAACGTGAGTCTCGATGGCCACACTTGTGACCTCAGAAGCCTTCATACATGTTAAACCTAAATTTAAAACAAAATCATAAAATTACTTGGGCCTTATACCTTATAGTAATTTTCTTGAATGTGTCAAGAGAAGAACTCGTGGCATTACATCGGAATAAAATAACAGTTCGGGTCGGAAAATCAGAGCAAAAAAAATATGAGGTCATTAAATGAGATACGTTTTGTCATACCTGCTTGACATCCACAACCACTAGTTGAGCATCTTTGAAGGTAGGCACCCTTGGCTAAACAACGACTGTTAAAGAAGGAATGTTCACAGCAACCATTATTACAGTCACTGTCTGACTTACAACTATTGAAAATGAAGCCCTGAAAAAAAGTTGAGATAAAGATACTATCATCATGAATTCTCACATACATAATAAACTACTTTCTGTCTTCTTAATTAGTCTTTATAAAAAAAAACACAGGTATATGAACGATTCGAGCCACAAAACGAAACTCGAAATCCGAACAACATTTTGGTGAAGCATCGGTAGCAGCTACTGAACTTTTCACATGAGGAAGTATATCAATCATAAATGAAGTATCAAATAAAGAAATTGTTACTTAGATGATGTTCTTAGCGAACCCTGAAATTCCTATTAGCACACTGGTTGTTATGTTACAGTACATATAATTAAATTGAACCCACAAAGCAGCTTGATCAAATTGTACACACAAAAAGATTCAATGCTTGCTTTAACATGCGTACTGCTTCAATATTTGCGATACAGCCATTCCTGGAATTACAGGTGTGAAATCAGAATAGACCTATTACTATTCCCGATACATTTAATTTGTAGATAAGCCTACAACGTAACTTAATCCTTAAATGAAAGTTAACGAAGGTTCGCTCTACCAGTTCGGGATCCCAAAAATTTATCATTTTTTTGTTGGCAAGTAGCAAACCTGTACATTTCATCAGCTGTGTACATTCCGATATACCAATTATATTTTTTCAAATTGTGGATTTCAGAAAATCAAATTCTTGTCGTCGTTGACAAGGCAGAATTTATCATTTTAGAGGAATCGAATCTTGAAATTTGGCCTTTTAAAATTCTAATTCTTATCGTCGCAACACATCTGAGAAGAACGTACCTGAGTAACAACAGCAGAACCATACTAATTTTAAATTGTAGCCGAGACTACTACTTTTCACTAACGAGTTAATTACCAAGGTATTTCAATAAACTTAGTTGAAGTCTTTCAATTCAGAGGAATCGAGTCTTTAAATTCTCTAATATGGCCTAGTTAGTTTTGGAAGATTTTGGAATTCTAATTCGCAACACATCTGAGAACAACGTACCTGAGTAGCAACAGCAGAAAGCAGAACCAAAGCAATGACGACCTTCATCCTGGAATGATTAAGACTGAATAGAAACAGAATGATCGAAAGATTTTGATAAGATAATACCTTTGATAGATAAGGATGTGAATATATTGGTTTATAACATCTGAAAGGTTGCTTATCTCGAAACGAAAGATAATATTAGCATAAAAGGTATTAATAGGAAAAAGATTACCATTTTTATAACCAGTATAGCCTACCTTACGACGGTCTAATCCCAATTCACGTTCCCTGTTGGTGGGTGAACAATCCAACGCTTGGCGAATTCTGCTTCGCAATGATAGGAAGAGCCGACATCGAAGGATCAAAAAGCAACGTCAAAATTCTTCCCCTACGAAAACAGATAGTATTTCCAAAGAGAATCGATACAGAGATGCTTCGAAGCACTATATGCATTAATCCGAAGACATAAACCTTAGTAGCAGACGGATGAGAATACTGTACTGTACTATGCACAATTATTGGATTATCAAATGAAAATTGTTTACAAATGTTGGTAGAACAATGGGACTAATTCTAGAGTAATAAAAATCAGGCTCGCTTGACTGATAAATATTGTTTCAGGTGCTAAAACCTCCTAGTCTTTGGGGATTGATGTAAATGATATCGTTGGTGTTGACAGGGTCGATCTTCTCTGTTCCAATCCCACAAATTCTTCCTCTATATACAGTTTATTCTCAAGACAAAAGTATAGTAAAGCTACGTTCCAGAGGATGATTTGAACCCTTACAGTATTTGTCATATGTGTGTTTAAATTCTATTGACCTTGACCTAAAACAGTGATGTATAGGGGGATACTCTTTCGGTAAATTAGAGCAAAATACGAAGACACAAGGAATGGTTCAATATGAGACGCAGCCCTGTTTCCTTAAATTTTTCTTAAACTGTCTTTTTAATTATAAAACCCAAAGCAAGATTTTAATAAATGAAACTGTTTTCCAAAGCAAGATTTTAAATAAATGAAACTGTTTTCCAAAGCAAGATTTTTGTAAATGAACTTTTGTTTTTCCTAAATCCTGTTACAAATGTATTATTAACATATTTTATATTTAACATTCATTCGCCGATATAATATAAGCTACAAAAGATTGGGGCAACTGATCAACTTAGACTAGGCTTTAGTATTTGGTGTAGTGTGGTTAAGTGTGTTTTGATATAATATGGATAACTGGAAACTATGACTATCACAACGTGTGCATTTCAATCTTTCAATTCTTTTTATAGATATACATGTGAACCGCCAATCGAACTGTGTAAGCCATGACATGGCATTTTCTTATCAACACGATCAACAGAATATTGACATTGGTGTGGGTGTTTAAAGTCTAAAAAGACATGGCAGTGTTATTCTTCAAACAAATTTCAGTAACGGTTTGAACCATCATGGGAAAATATTTTTTCAGCAAGGCACAGTGTCATATCTTGACTATCATATGTGTACTTCTCAAACCCATCGCTTCAATATACCGAATAGTTCATAAATGTTCGGGTAGTCAACATTGTCAAAATATTTACTATATAAGTCTAGTAAGCAACGTATCATAGAAACAACATTTGTTATAAGCGTATGTGTTTCGTTATTTTTCTTGATCTTTAAAATAAATAACTTGGGTGGTCTGAAAAGCATTAATTCATCGAAAGTGCTAAATAGCGAAACCGACACGGAATGCAATCTCTGCACCGAAAACATACGTAATGTAGACAAGGTTTGGGCCTTGCCATCATAATTTACTATGAGAAGGGTGTTCTTTTTTTATTGTAGCAGCATTGCTCGGAAGGCTTAGCGTAATGTAAAAATCTTGCATTCTCACCAAAATTAGCGCCAGAAGGAATACGATTTGAAAAGTGCATTCATAATGAGAATGATGGAGAGAGTGAGGGCCCAGTAGAACTTTTATTCTGTCTCGCTCTTGCTGAATTTCTTAGTGACGTTTTCGTGTAGGTTCCGCCAGTTCGTTTTCAAGATCAGCAAGATCAAGACCGGACATGGGCAGATCACCAGAACCAGGATTCCCAGACATGCCATTCTGACAGAATACTGTCGTCCTGTGCTGTGATATCTTTAATAAAACCTTTCTGCTTGGTCCCGGAAATGGTGTGGAAGGTACACTTCTTCCAATCTTAGACATATTAAATTTCATCATTTGTACGAAGCAACAAGAATAGAAGTACTAATACCGCGATTTCTGCAAAATTGAGACTTATCATTAAAATAAGAATTCAAACATCTATAAAATTTCATGGTGAAATTTATTGACAGCGTCCTCCAGTTTCAGAAAAAATCTGTTGTTTTGACTTTGTATTGGATGGGGTTTGACAAGAGATCCGCATATTACTGCCAACTATTCCAACTTCATTCTGTCTTTCTCTGTTTGGGAAGTGGTTGCGAATCATGCAAAAATATACAGTAGCCATGTTGAAAAATGTTAATATATTAGAAAGCTCTGGAACATTTACTACAAATTTGAGTATCTTTCAGGACAATGGCAGAACTCACAAAGTGGTCTGAATATTGCACAAAAAAAAAACATCATGCAGCTTGGATAAAAGGATTACAGAAAGCAATCACAGAAAGATGTGATTCCTGTTGTAAAGTGGCCAGTACCTCCATGAATCGGATATCGAAAGCTATCCTAGGTTTTATCGGTCTTGGAAGACCATAGTTTGTATCTCATGAGGGTAACAGCTGGTTCGCACACCGACACATTTGTACTGTCCAGAGATGTTGTGAACTTCAAATATGTTTCTAATTCATATCAATCTTTGAGCTGACTATGTCAATTCTCTGTCTACTTTTACTCAATAATTTTGCAACTTAACCATGAAATAGTATATTTAAGAATAATGAGATTTATTTCCATGTGAAATAATTTACGTTATCATGGCACTGATTAAGGTTGGGTGTTGTTGTCGTCTCTGTAGCTTTAGAAATAATTAAAGTAGCTACATATTGAAAACCAGAGTTCCTTTGATGAATGCCTAGTTATCGTTCTCTTTACCGTCAGGACAGTTACGTTATAATAGCATAAGAAGAAATTCAGAATAATTTGTTAAATTCAACATAAACATTTAGTGTATTTCTTTTTTATTGACCTTTTGAGTTGGTGTTTAAAATTAATTGTGTCCAAATTTATTTAGTTTTCGGGGAAGGGAGGGTTTGATTCTCCCAAATGTACAGGCCTAGGGTGGAGCAGACACTTTATTTAGAAATCAGGATTAAGGGTCTTGATATTGGGTTTTCTTCTGTTCTTATTCTGATCTGAAATTAGAAAAAATAACTCGCCCAATGGGCGAGAAGTATAGTATCTGTTATGTACTGATTGTTTTTAGTTTACTATGAACAATATTATCATTTAAGTTCTTATTTTTTGAATATGCAACTATCATTTTCTGCTTATAGACATGGGGGAATTTCTCTTGAAGGCTCTTATAGTGGGCATGAACTATCTTGCTTGCTCGATTGCTGGTTGTATTAAACGGGACAACAAAGGGTGCTATGCCTACATTATGATGAATATTTAGTCCTATAGGTCTTGCTGTATTCAATGTCTCAATCCAATGGGCCTCCCTAGATTGACGGAATTTGGTAGTTTCATCTTCGGGCAAGTCAATTTCTATACGCTCAATTGGGATTAGGGTGAGATCGTCTATTGAATGGTCGTCGAGGTTGAAATGATTAGAAACAGGCTTGTCTTTCTTTAATTTGATGTCTGACCTATGAGCATTAAAGCGAGTTCGTAAATTATTCTTAGTTTCTCCTACATATTGTTTGGGGCATTTCTTGCATGAAATTAAATATATTACATTCGAATGTTCACATGTTAGATGTTCCTGGATCGGGTACCTTTTATTCGTAGAGTTGCTTACAAAATAATGAGTTTCTGATA